CGATATTCATCGAGGGTAATCGGAGCTATTTCATTTTTACGTTATGTACGTACTTAGCATAATTTGTTAGCTATGGCAATAACTTATTACCACTTTTTAGCAATATTTACATCGCTATCACAAGTCAGGGTAACCTTATGGAAGACTTGAATGGGAGTATCTATGTGAGTTGAGGTTGCTTATAGTATAAAGTGCATCTTTTAACCCGTCGATTATTAGGGTTGTTAAGGTTTGTCGTGATATTTAGTTGACTCGTCTTTAGAAGGAGTCTGATGCTGGCTGAAGGATGAGGTATTGGAGATTAATGGTGTAACATGTGAATGTGGTATCAAACATACTCCCAGCGGGCTGAGCGCCCGCTTACCCAATGACGTCACCGAAACCGCTCCGCCCTTATGACACTGTGTCTTCAAATTACTTAGCTTAATGGACACTACAACTGTCAGATATTCTGAGAATGAATTTGAAATCAGTTTGTTGAGAGTTTCATGAGATGGAACTCTTTAGAAACAGAAATATGCCGGCATTTAAGATGGTGCACTGACTTCAATAGATCTCTGACGGAGGGATTTGTATGAAAAGATGTCTATGCTATGCGACAATGGAGGTTGATATTTCTTTGCGAAGCGAAATATGCTTTTTTCATAGAATCAAGAATTAGCGATCTTCAAAGAGTTTGGCAGAGAACTGCATATCTCATTTTGCATTTTCCGTTGGTTAACTTCGAGTTGAATTCGATATTTTTTGTTGTGGCGCAGTGTAAGGTTTTGAATGATAATGGTAAATGAAAAATATTTCGGACTTTCGGGGAGTACATCGTGAATAATTCAGAGGTGTTTGCAATTGTTATGTGTTCAATATTAGGGGTGTGAAGAAGTCATTGTGCTCTCGACATAGTTTAAACGCAAGTATGTCGCTCTTTTGAACATTTTTAGAGTTGGTACAGGGTGGTCCAAAATTATGAGGACCGCGTGCGCGCGCGGTCATATCCATTTTTTTTCCGAGTCGCTCCATTTTCATTTCCTTTTCTGTGCACCATGTGATAGGGTACAGTGTATTCTTCCTTTCGCATACTTCATGCAGTTCTCAAAACTAGTGAAAGAGCAACACCTTCCTTATGTCATTCCTCAAATTGAACTCACTAAGGGCTCTGGCACGTTACATCTAGCGGCAGTCTAACGTATCAGGAAAGCTCATGTGGGCAACAGTTCAACTCTTCAATAAGTTTGGAACCACCACAGATGGAAAATTCGGAGACTCGAAAGTTACAGTTACCACCAGGACAATTATCAGATGCAGAAACTTGCTCTCCCCTTGTCGACTTTCGTACTCCCAAAATGAAAAAATGATGTGAAAACCCAGCCAGGCACTCTAAAGACTCCACATCTATAGTGGATAGGAAGCCACTCGAGTACCATACTTGGGACGTTTTACTGGACCGAGCACCCAAGAATAGAGCAAAAATTCTCTAAAAAGCTATTTTTCGAGTTTGTTGCTCGAAGAATTGTTACAATGGAACCCTCCACCTAACAGCTCTAGAATTCTGTATTTTACACCCTGGAGACATGGGTAAATGAATGCCCCACAAAACTTTGATCCCCTGAAGAAAGCAGAGCAGAAGGCCTGGAAACATTTTGACACGCCTCAGTTGCGTGCCACCGCACGCGCCACCCCTTCGTCTGAAGGCTCGTGTAAACGCGGCAGGTGGCAGATCTCAATTCTATTCTGGAATTACTTTGAGATACTAGTTGCAAACACTTCCCTGTAGTTTGTTTGCTCCATCAAGCTACTATGCGTTTTTAACGACACAATGTCTTGGTCCTCATAATTTTGGACCACCCTGTAGTATGTTCAATAACAACACTCCGCGAATAGAACGGGATGCATAAATACTGGAAATTCTAGACGACTGAACATAACTCTTTGAAGCAGATATCCAGGCCATCGAGAAAGTGACACATCACAGACAAAAGGTCTACCGAGTACGATTGTCGCAGAACTAATTCACTAAGCATGTCTTGTTACGAACAAATAGTATCGAATATTCTCAATCAGCCAAAAAGCTTCTGTCCTGAAGTCCTGAAGCAATATTTTTGTGCGCACGTACTGTGCAAATAAATAAATAAATAATTTGTAGCCCAACTGTTTAGACTTGTGAAGGGTTGGTTGTGCGATGCGCGTCCGAGCCAACTGTCAGGGATAAGTTGTTTGCTTCATAATGGGAAGTACTGGGCGCATTTGTTGGAGTAGTTTGACATCTTGGGAAGAGTGGATTTTCCCACATGAACACTTCCAGCTGGCTCCGATGACCTAGACCAGCCGCTGCCCTTAAGAAAGTTAGCTCGCCCTTCAATACAGTTTCAGTTTTTCAAAGTTTGTGGAGCCTGATCGCGGTCGATCCATACAGGAAAGGTTCGTGTCTGCAAAAGAATCCGGCAGTCGCAAATGGATAGGGAAACACTGGGGCCCCCCTGTTTTCATTGCATAAAAAATCTGACCGGGGTATGACGCATTCAGTTTTGGTTTTTAGCTCGCATAGTTCAACTATTTAAATTTTTGAGACTTTCACGTCTTTCCCGCACAAACAAGAAACCCGCCATATTAGTGCAAATGGATTGAAGGATAACTTCTCACGCTTTCTGTGGCGAGGGTAGCTTCTAACCAGAACTATCTGAACGCTGAATGTTAGTGTTGTCAACTCGAACCACCCTCATCATCCTTAGGACCTTTGCTTTCCTTACAAAATTTTTTTTGAACAATTGCCTTAGACTATATTTATTACCAATTTCGGACAAGTGCATCTATAATATCTTGACCTGCTTTTGCTTCTTACAGGTCTGTTTCGAGCTAGAAAAAGATTCTGCAATTGGCTTCTCGAGTAGCGTATATGTATGAAAAGTGATAACGCAATGACGCCGACCCCATGCACGTTAGAATCGTAGCAAGAACCGCTTGGGTGTCCCCCAACAGGCCCACCGCGCGCGAAGCAAGAGACGCAGACGCGGCAAAGGGACGAGTCGCAGCGCATACTGTAGCGGTTAGGCGTCAGGTTAAAGAGAGTGTACCATACTACGTCTCATATCGCACAGCACGCGCTGCAACTCGTCTTTGCCGCATCTGCGTCTCTTGCTTCGCCGCGCGGTGGGCCTGTTGGGGGACCCCAGGCGCTTCAATAACGGTATACAGCGTAAGGTGCAGCTTTCTTGAAGTGCGACGAATAAGCGTTAAATAAAGGAGCACCGGATAGCGCAATACTTTCTTCACGACTAATATAAATCTGTCGAATCGTGACCCACGTAAGTATTGTCGGGGTTTGCGAGTGCAGTTGAAACATGGCGAACTTTTATGAGCTTCCAGGATTTTTTTGGAATTTGTGTTCTTTTCGTCTCTTTTCAATCTTCTTGATTCATCTTTGTTCACACATAATCTTTCTTTTCGGTGAGCATTGGATTTAAAGGATCTCCGTCAAGCATTAGATTCAGAAAGGAGTTTTGCAAATGTCGTGAAATTAGATATTTTCGCAAACTCGAATGGCTTAGTGGGTATGTCTCGTATAGGATATATAGTGGGCGGTGAAACTCCAGTTCGGGGGGGCCACTCCATTGCTATCTTATCCGTAGTACTAGAGAGCAGTTCTTTGGGCTATCGAACACTACGGATAAGATAATAAGTGAACGACTCATTTCGAGCGTACTTTTGATAAGGACCGGTGGATGTCCTACATTCCACACTACCTGCCCACATTCATTTCTGGACAGGTGATACACTGAGCCCTGCCTGCCCATTAGCCTTTACGTGGTGTCCTTTCTCCTGGTCCAGGACCGTTCCCTTGGGTCATGGCAGGCGGAAATGTGAAAACGTTTCAGGGTTTCTCACCCATTACACCAATATTTATCAGAAGTCTACTTTAAATGAGTCGATTACGTGTCGTGAGCCCTCTAATCCTTATCTTGAGTATTGAGAAAAAATGGAGTGGCCCCCCGAACTGGAGTTTCACTACGTGGCTTTATAGACAAACCAAGGGAGAGATCGAAGAACTGAAATTGCTGTTCGCCTGATCTCTCCTCAATCCGAGGCTTAGTGCGTTTTTGCCAAAAACGAAATGTTGCGCGCGGCTTTGATGGGATTACCCGCGAGCCGTTTTGCTGCGACTAGCGATACAGATTATACGACTTATTTCGATAAAGGGCCTCAGAATTTGGTTGAACGACGTATTTACTGATATTTAGCATTCCGAAATTGTTGCCTCACTTCGGCAAGCTACTATGTATATCAGAAATCGGGCAAAATGCTACACTTATTATACGAAGTTATACGATGAGGGATTGAATCTATCATCGCCAGGCTCGGCGCTGCCTCTCGCATGAACTTTGTCGTGTCTTTGTCGTGTATGAGCGATCTTTTTTACCGTCCTTTACAACGGTCCCGTCATCTGCTTACTTTCATAGGCCTATAAATAATCCAGTAATACAGCGCAGTAATGGGCTAGGGTAAAGACACAGAAGAACACTTTTCGACTATCGATGTAACATCACATAGGAAAAAAGCCAATGACGTTACCAACAGGTAGCTGACTCACTCCTTTTTATACCTAACCACCCATAACCCTTGTTTATCAGGGGTTGATGTCACTTTGCATTTTTTGGTGCAGTGTAAAGGCTATCGTGCACCGTTGCGGCGCAAATGTCCATGTCCTCATTACAGCACCAGCTGTTTTCCCGAATCTCCAACGTTTTTTTACGGGATTTGTTCCAGCCAATAGCGCACGCTCTTCGCGCTCCACCACCTGCCGCCTGCCCTTACACACTCTGTTGAAAGCCATGGGCTGGCGAAAGAGGTGAATGCCTACCGATTAACTACTGCTGTTATCCATCCTCATGATTTTACTGCCAATCAATTTCGACTACCGTAACTAAAGCCTATATCGACTCCATTGGGACTATTCTACACCTGCTTTTGATATTTCATTTTTTTTTCTGGAAAAATTCACACCTATCAAGATGGTCCACGAGTACATAACTGAGCTGTGAGTTTTTGTTTTACAAATTAGCTAATTTTGCTTCAGTCGCTGTGACCGCTTCAGAATGACAATGAGTAGGACTCATAAGAACAGAAGTTCCTATTCTAAACCAGTGACAGTTTTTTCTCAGACTTCTAGAAATCTTGATTTTCACATCTGCTTCTTAAGATTTTCTAAGTTCAAACTCATGTTTATTACATCTGCTAAAGACACACATTAGAAAAAAACGCATCATTAAATAAATGAATAAAATCGAATATTACTGCTAGTTAACTGGTTAGCTCTGCTGGTTTGTTCCTCGGAAATGGTTTGCTGCTTTTTGAATAGAATCAGTCTTATATTCGTTAGGAATGCCCCGATTATTGGAACGGTGTTAGGTAGATCCGGTCAGTGAAATATGATCCAGCGCCGTTATGTGAGGGTCAGGATAGTAGTGCATAAGGACTTTGCTAGTAGTAATGATTTTAGTAACTGAAGTAGGTTCACAAGAAAGGGCCTCTTTTATGCAAATTGTAACTTACAGGCATTTAATGCTATTAAAGGAATCTTCCGCGGAAGAAAGCTCCGCCTCCATTACCACAGAAAAACGATACCCCTTAGGCCCCTAGCCTCATGAGCATAGCAAAAAGAACGGAACATAAGCGTTAGTTTCGATAATACTAATCCTACACACAAGACAAAATGATCACTCTTTCCGTGGAAGATTCCTTTAAGGTATCGTTTTCTGTGGTAATGAGGGCGGAGCTTTTTCCGTGGAAGATTCCTTTAACATCAGCTCGCAAGCCAAAAAGTTCTGACCAAATCTCCATGTGAGAAGAGATAAACCAAAGGCAGCTTTTCGTCAAGCGCGACTTCGTGGCCTCTCCGAGTGGGGGAGGGATGGGGGACGTTCAAGACCATGGGCATTCTGAAGTTAGCTGCAGGTATGCGGCTAGAGTGCGACGTTGAGTAGGGGCTAGAAACTGAGCCTCGAACCAGGCGGCAAAATACGCCAGCGAAACAAAGGTTTGCTGTCGTCTCTCAAGAACCTCTTCACCTCCTGAGGTCTTAGTATGCAGTTTCTGATCAGTCGCTCACCCACTTCGATGGGCCCATGGTCCACTGTCCTGCGAGTACGACATAAGTCCGTCAGTGATCGCATTTAGCAAAGCTCAGGAGGTAATTGAGTAGTGATACAGTAGGTAGTCCGCTTCCTGAAATAAAGCAGCTGTACCACAAAATCTTAAAACAAGCAAGAAACCGTGATACGCCGCATGGCGATGGAGGGTGATGCGGCCCGAGAAGGGACGGGCGCAGGACTGGCTGGAAGGGTCGGCAGGGGTAAGCGCTGTGATTGCGACCGAGAGGTGGACAGTCGAGGGAAAGAGAATGAGTGTTGGGCTGCGGTACGAATCCAGATCGAACTTGAGCGATCGCCTGTCTTAGAAGAGAAAGGCTGGGTCGGCTTGGAAGAGGGACCAGCAGAGTGAAGCGTGTTGATGTGGTCAATTCGCGGGCTTGCAGAAAGTTCGCGTGAGTAGTTTGCAGCTCTTAAGCTGCAGAGCTCGTCTCAAGTCTCCGTTTGAAGCCTTTTTCCCCGAGAAGAGGGGTGCGGGCGCAACGAGGAAGGTAGGACGGCGAGAGTGGGTCTTGGAGAACGATTCCAGAACCGTAGAGGTAGTCAGATTCAGGAATTGTATTTGATCCTGTAGATAGGGATCATATTGGATAGATCAGTGGAAAAATTCAGGAGCGTGGTTGGTGCGAATAAGAATTCTTGTAGAAAATCCATTTCACTTCTTAATAATTTTTTTTTGCATAAAAAGTTTTGGGAGCTCCAACGCGTATCTCTTTCCTGATATTGGGCCTAAACTTATCCCAAGCCCCTTGACTGCTTTCACTACGTCGTGAAGAGTACGCCAGATCTGCAAGATTGGGTGAAAGGAAGTAAGAAGTCAGAAGTAAACAGGTAAGATAATGCAAGGCAGTAATTGATCCTGCGGAAATTCCCTCAACAGCATGATTTCACCATGTCTAGTGACCAAGGAGGTTCCATTTTAGACATTTTTCGAACCCTCGAAACTTTGTGTGGACAGAATTTAACAACGGTCCTTTCTCCTTTTCGACTCGGAGATCATCCAAAGGATAGGTATTTGGGGGAGCGAGCAGCATCCGTTGCAAATGTTTCGACACAGTTCTTTACTTTGCGAAAAAAATTTATCTGTTGTCTTCGTCGTAAGATTTCCTGGAGCGGATTTCGGCCGATTTCGTGAACCCGTCGTTGCTCGAATGTTGGCGCCGGCATTGCCTCACCTAAGAACAAATTAATTGCTCTTTGTGCCGCAGTGTAATGTACTCAACGCGTCGTTCGGCTGAAGAACTGTTAAAACTTCCGAGCAGGAAGCAATTTTGTAACAATGCGAATATATTGATACCATGAGACAACTCAAAGCTAGAATAGCTTGAAGAGGGTCATTTGTCCAAAATCCATTCGCCCTCTACGGAATTAAGGGAAAAAAGGTGCTCAGGTCGCTAGGGGGGGGGGGAGGGGCATTCAAGTGAGTGAGCCACTTACATTGCTTGGGCCAAGCCCTAGAGAGGGGATGGGATTCTAGAGGAGTATGTGAGCAGCTTATTCAACTTGGCCTTTCTTTCCTCTCCTGGGCTTGTCCTAGTGCCACTCAGGGTACCCGACAGGAGGCCCGTCGCGCGGCAAGAAGGCAGAGTCGCGGACGAGTCGCAGCGCGTGATGTGCGATGTAGGACGTGCAATGGTACATTCTATTTAACTTGACGCGAAATCACTACAGTACGCGCTGCGACTCGTCCGCTGACTCTGCCTTCTTGCCGCGCGACGGGCCTCCTTCCAGGTACCCGCCACTTACCATCGGCCTTGTTTTGAATGTCCTCCCCCCTAAGGACATGAGCGCCGAAAAAAGAATGATGTTTGGCGCTATTTTATTTACTCTTAATGCGCACATTTCTCAAATAAAACCTCGACCGACATTTTGAGATTCTGAGGTTCGGATCTACTTACGATATGCTGAACTATAGCGTTCTGCGGCGCTTAAGATAAGTGCACTTAAATACGAGAACGTAGGTGGCCAAATTTGAAAAAAAATTCTCACTCCAATACTGTAGTCCTCTACGACAATAAACATGGGTTTCAAATGATAGATTGAGAACCTGTCCCAAAATTTCAAAAGTTCTGTCTTTGAGGGGATCAACCAGTAAGATTGCACACTGACTTGTGAAATGCCAGAATGACGGATACCGAGAGGAGGCCCGTCGCGTGGCGAGAAGGCAGAGACGCAGACGAGTCAGCAGGCAAGCTGCAACACTTAGTGTAGCGATTCAGAGTCATGTCAAATAGAATGTGCTATAATATGTCTCACATTGCAAAATACGCACTGCGACTGTTCTGACTTCTTCCTTCTCGTCAGAGCAACGGGCTTCTGTCAGTTACCCCAAAATGACCTAATCCAATTCATATTGGTTTATGGAGCCTGTGAACAAAAAACATGTCACCAATGTAAAATTGCTTCATTTACGGAGATGTCATTCTGGACGAAGTATAATTATATGGCTTACATTTTTTAAGTTAATTTTTCATAAAAATACATGCTAACTTGGAAATAGTCAACGTCAATTTTCTACTCCCGAAGGTCAAAATCGTTGTCAAGGGTTTTTTATTCTGAAACTGCTCAATTATTCAAAAACGTAGGAAAATATTCTAGAATCGTATAAACCTAATATTCGTCCTATATGAGCTTCATTCAGTGCCACGGGCGCTCTCCTGGATTCGTTCGCCCATCCAGGAGTGAGCGTTGGAGAGCCGGTCGGAGAGGATCGTGAGCGTATGGTACAGATATTCGTACGGTACGTGAACACACGGTATCCGGTCGTGCAGCCAAAAACCATATTTCTATCGCTTTTCAGGCAATTACTGCTTGCGCTGAAGCACCTTCACGACATGCGAATCGCTCACCTCGATCTCCGGCCGGAGACGATTCTGCTCCAGGACAACAAGCTGAAACTGGCCGATTTTGGTCAATCAAGGTGAGGCAATTAAACTTGTTTTTGTTTGTTTTTGAGCGCACTTGTCCAGAAAACGAGGGGTGCGGGTTCGAATCCCGTCTGGGGCGACAATTTTGTTCACAACCCAGCATTCTTGTGAGGCAATTATAAAACTGTTTAGCAGCCGAGTGTAATCGCACTTGACCAGCAGACAGCCAAAGTTGGCTGCAAGTAAAGCGTTATTTATGAACCGTGCTAGCCTTTGAGGGCTTTCAGAGCAGCCGTGGAGTAGCGGTAATGCTCTCGCTCTCCACCCGGTAGATCATGAGCTCTCTTCCCGTTCATTTGCAAAGCTCGAGACCGCTACCGCTTCTCCAGGACGGTAGCACGTTTCATATATTACGCTTCAACTTCCTGCTATATTTGACTGCTCACAACTTCTTTGCCAGGTCTATTTTGCAGTGTTGGTTTCCATATTTGTAATCAGCGTTAGAAACTATCGATCTATCTAGGTCTTCATTCAAAGTTCCATGGGAAGTTGAATGCCTTCCCTGGATTAGAACTCGGCGGAAAATTTGTGGGGAGCCTTGTAGGAACCTTTTGCAAATGAAGCCTAACATCTGATAACTCAGTATACTTACTGATAACATGTGATTTCCAATCCGCAAAGGAAGCAGTTCCATAGCTATGTGAAGGTTTCGATGCAGTCTTTCAGCGTCTGTAAGTACATTTGAGAGGACTGTGAGATCGAGAAACCTTTCAGTCTTGGGAAAATATTCAGCTGATGTTCCCACAACCAATTATGCGCAGAGCAACATTGAGGGATAGAGTTCAGACGACAAGTTTTTTGAAAAAAAAGGAAAAAAGAAAAAAAACAAAAAAGAAAAAAAAAAAAAAAAAAAAAACATAAATACTCTGTCTCTCTGCTGGAATCTATCCGCTTACAATTTTGTTGCTTTCTCATTAAGTTGGGTTGTGACATTGACTATATGTCCACAATAAAGTTCATCTCACCAGACCTCAAAAATACACCCTCCACACGGACCGCCAGCCCAACACTCAAAAAAAAAGCGCAAGCTTGAGTTACTACAAAAAAAACGTTTGAAAACTCCTAAAAAATTGACAAGATTGGTGTTGCATTTTTAAGTGCAGTAAGAATAAATGAAATATCTCCATTTGCTCTGAATAGGTCTTCTGATGGGGATACATTACAGCAACTGAATAACCTATTTCTTTTGCAGGCGACTTCTTCGTGGATTGATCACAGGAAAAATCCAAGGTGAGCTGTTTCCAATGCTACATTACTACTGTTCACCTCTTTGACTTGTTTTGTTGGAGAACATCGTTTTGCCACAAACCGCGTAAATACGAAAGAAATCTGGGTACGAATCGCGGCTGAGGCGAACGTTTTGTCCACGACTCAGCATTCTTGTGTGACAACTGCTGTCTACCTCTTTTCTAGTACTGTCAGGCCACCATCAATCAAGGCCTTCCTTTTTGTAGCCCTTTTTGGTTCACAGCCTTCGCACTTTGATAAAATGTAAACTCTAAGAATCTTCAGCTTTTTTCAACTTCATTCGGGGCGCGAAAGCCAAGATCAGCAGCAATTTTGGACAATAGCATTCATTTCTCAACACATTAATGACAGGGCGCGTTTCGACGTTTTTGGCCGCGTGGGACAAGCGCGATTTTGCCAGCCTGGCCAACTTACATCATATCCGTGGATTTTCAATGACAAGTACACGAGACATTAATGGCATGAAGGAATTTCAGGGATCCTCATTACGTAGAAGTCATCCGAGGGTGCACTAGTAAAATACCAAATAGAAGGAAGGTAACGACCAAGTAAAAGCAAATTTCACTCTCTTCCCCTGTAAAAATGCAAAAAAGTATGTGCTTTTGAGCTGGTTATTTTAGTGAAAACACATAATCTGTTCCGTTACTAATCTACCCTTTCATATGAAACCGAGAAATTTCGCCAGCTTTGGAAAACCTCTGCTAAATTGAAGCACATTTGACGATTTCGCGAACCAAGTCGTTTATATGTATTATGTAAAATGTGATCTGTAGAATAAATGCAAACAACTTGGAAAAAAGTCGCGCAAGCGCAGAAAAGGGATGACATGGGTGTGACGCGCAGCCGCGTCACACTGTCCCACGTGGCCTGTTAAGTGGGACGGGAAACCGCGTCACGCTATCGTCGATGTTGCAAGGAAATATGTGATTCAAGTAGCTCATCGGTAATGGTAATAAAACAATCATTTACAGGATCGCCAGAATTCGTTTCACCGGAAATTGTGCGTGGATATCCACTCACATTGGCAACGGATATGTGGAGCGCTGGCACCCTCACCTATGTATTGTACGTGATTACAGTACCTTTACACAAAATGTCGTCCTTTACGAAGTGCGGCCCTTTACAGACCATTGAAGGCAGATTTGTTTTCGAGTAGTTTGACCATAACAGTTTGGAGAAGCTGCTTTTATGAAGCTCAGCGAATGTAGAGGTGGAAAAGTTTAGCTCACAGAAATTGGTCACTGCCACTAACAGGCCTATCGTGGCCTTCGGTTTGATATCTAGCTATGCTTCTGTTTTTCACGGAGCAATTCCTAGAATACGATTTCCAGGCCCTATTCCCCAGTATTTTTTCTGATTCTGTTGCTAACCATAAGAAATCCTTAGCCAGTCTTGTGAACGACTTATCACTGCCCTGTCCCACTTTCGATTAGGAATTCTTTACTCCTCGACCCCCCCCCTTAATGTCCAGTTCTGATAATTTGACGGATAAAGTTGAAAAGATTTTGATACCCCGTCCTGTCCCCCTCTAGCAAGAAATCTATCGTCGACTGCTTGGGAGAAATTTTCTTAAGTCCATGGACTATTTCAACATTTTCAGGCTCACCGGCATCTCTCCATTCCATGGTGATAACGACAATGAGACGTTGGAAAATGTGAGCAATTGCGCATATTCAATGAAAGGCGACGAATGGCGCCCATTTACGGCCGAAGCGGCTGATTTCGTCAAACACCTTCTCATGGAGATTCCAGCGTGAGCTCTTAGGATTTTCTCTTCAATATACTGACCCATACATTGCGAAAGGACCGTTGATCCTTGGAAAAAAGTGTTCGAGAACGGCGCACTTTCAGCACGTTACGGAAATTTACCGGCGCCTCAATAACCGAATTGATGCATTGCAGAATTGACATGGCATTAACGTGGCATCGATTCAAGAACATCTTTGAGCACACGTTGATGTCAACTTTTCCTGAGAATTTTCTAGAATTCCTCGATGAAAAAGGTGGCATCACGTGTGCTCAAAGATGTTCTTGAATCGATTGTCACGTTAATGCCACGTCAATTTCTTGCGATTGCCAAGTTTCTGTTGTTTAAGGCGAGGTGTATTTTGGATATGCGTTGATTTCGAGACTTATGCCGAAATATTTCTAGTCACACCGTTGGTGGTCATTCTTGTGACCGGGCTTCATAAAAGTTTGTTTCAATCCATCTTTAGGCGAAGGATTCGCTGCAGAATCGACTCTCGATTTTCAGCTTTTCCTTGAACTCTGACCCCGGAACTTAATTAACCTACCAAGGTAGTACACCTTGAAAGTATACCTCGCGCTCTGCCCAGTGAAGTGGCTGGTTAGGATTCACAATGAAACTATCATCGTACTGGTCCCGGTGGTATATTGCAAACCAACAGGCTTTGTTGTTAGAGTTAGTTAGCTCACTCTTTATTAACTGCTGGTTGTGCCGCTCCAATTAGCGCAGCTTATCCATCGCTGAGAAGCTCGCTGATCCTCGCTTAGAGACTGACCTATCTGAAGCGCCAGTAGTTATTAAGATTTTTTTCGAGCTGAGTTGGAAGTGTATGTGAGTATTGCATCTGAAGGGCTCAACAATGCCCATGAATAAAAGTAGTCAGAAAAAAAACATATTGAAGATAATAAAAAACTATACGTAATAATGACGATTGCTGACTATTCCAATCGATACTACCCAGTTATCTTAGAAGCCTGTACCCAAATCTCGGCTGTAATAAACATTGACGATAGTTGTTAAGCAATTTTTTTAGGTCGTTCCCAAAAAATGACGATCAACTAGCGAAAACAAAAACGTTGAAACATTGACTTTCCCGAAACATTAAGCTTTAGTGACTTGGACAAAACACGCAAAATATATCCCCGAATTCAGACGAGAATTGAAATTGAGAGAAGATCACCATCAGCTAAACTTCAATTTTCACTTTCAAAGATCCGATAAATTTGAAATTGGGGGATTTAACAAATTGGCTCTCTGGTCGTCAGAAGTTTGTATGAACCACTCCTAGCAGTTGCACAAACAAAAGGCATCTTCATACATCGACAAAAAATAAACGAAGCTCACTTTAGCGAGCACTTTCAAGCTCTGCCTTTTTGTAACACACATTGGGAGTTTGGCAAAAGCCAAAGAAGAACGAGATGCTATACATAAGCACTGCAGTTCAAGAGGTTAAGGCAACACCAGCGAAAAATTCAGAATCTAGCTGCAAAGGATTCAATTTTAGTAAGAATGGTCAGGGATCGAAGTGACATTGTTGCCATTGGTGAATTGGAAGCCGTGTGGTATTGAATGAAAGCATTAAAATAATAGTAAACCCTTTGAAAATATCTCTTCGAGCCAGGCAACAGTCTCAATTTGAACCGCTTTACCGAAGATGTTCTTTTATTTTCAGTATACTATCATTACTATTAGATGACAAATTTCAGGGAGAGGATGACGGTGGACGAAGCATTGGAGCATCCATGGTTGTCCGGATCCTTCTCTGAAGACTGCTCCGCTATCTGCGGACACACTTCGTGAATTCAAATACCAGCACAAATGGCTGGTAAGTCAACCTATTTATATTTAGCAAGATCGGGATATGAAACGACTATTTTGGACAAAGGACAAACCATTTGCCGTTGATCAGTCCCTTCTTGGGATGCGGCCACGCGTATCGTGCATCAGCAGTTCTGTACATTCAGTAGCTCGGATACAATTGAATGCGAGTTTGGCCATAACAATGGACTTTGCGAGGGCCAGCCTTTACGCCACAACGCGATGTTTTACTCTCCCGAGAACAAGTCTAGGCGTACAATTAAACGACCCCGGAAGGTTGAAAGCCAGTTGGTTTGGACCCGGGGGCCCCACGACCCGGATCCATCCCCGGACGACGCGTTTGTGTAAAGACGGTGCCATCCTTGCCAACTGCACCACTGCCGCCGCTTCGTGTTTGTATAGCGGTGCAAATTATTTCTATTGTTGGTATTTTATTGTTATTGTGGATGCCGACAGCTAGCTCTCGAAAAGTCCCAAAATTTGAAATCTTCGAAAAACACCATTAAAAATTCGCGATTTTTCTCTTGCAGGGCGGACGGATTTTACTTTAGTTTTTTTTTAAGTCTTTGTTCAAAGCTTCAGAGTTTTGGAATCGTTGAAGATTTGGCTAAGGAAAAAAGAGCAATGAAAGCGTCGGCGCAGAGTTTGAAGGCGCGAGGGTAAACATCCGCGAACGTGGAGAGGGATAGGTGAGGACAGCTACGACAGAGATCGAGAAGAAACCAGATATCCTGGTTTTTCACGTCCTCTCCGATCGGGTACACTTCTTGTGGGATATTTTCACTGTTGCTACTTATCCCACTCAATGAATTGTTTCGGCGTTCTCGTTATTGTATTTGTTTAACTTTATTGATTTTCTATAGGATTCCACGAAGCAACTCTATAAATCGATACTAATATATTCAAATGAAATAATTAAATCGGTAACAATTAATGATTGGATAGATGAAAAGCGCTATTACAGGAGCGGCGGGTCTTCGTTCAACAGACACCTTCTGAGCAACTGTTGGAAGCCGTTTTGGTGAGCTATTCCAGCTTTCTTCACGATATTTTCAAAAATTGCAAATTGGAAGGATAATTAGTATAAAAACCCTCATGCCCAGTGTTTTCGGTGTTCCTTTTCCTTGTTTCATACACATTCACTCCGCTTCACATCCCTTCTTTCAATTTTCAGCGAAATGGTTATACCAATTTGATCGTGGAATGTGCCTTTAAATTCTATTTCATTTTACTCATTACCCTTAGAAGGTTTGCTACAGTCAGTCTGGTATTCAAAAATAGTGTGAGAAGAGATATAAAACAATGAAAAAGATAGAGGAAAAAAGAGTAAGCTTTTTCTTATGATTGTGATGCTTCCCATTTCTACCTCTTTCGCATAGCAAGAGAAAATAGATAAAAGAAAGGCAATGTACCAGGTTAACGTTACCCGTTTTGTGCAAATCTAACCTACTTTTTTTGCAATTTTTCATCACTAATTATTACTTCGCCAAAAGCTTCATTATTGTTAGCTAGCGTACTATTTGCCGTGTCCGATAATAATACACACGGGCATTTTTGACCACGAGAATGGAAGCATGATTTAATGAAAACGAGCATTCCGTGTGAAACTGCGGTACGTATGTGTCCCGCGCTGTCCCGCGCTGTCGCCAGTTTCGCGTAACTACAACTAAAATAACCGACGGATGTGAAGGACCAGGAAAAAATCCAAGCCAGACCAGAAATTACGCCTATAAGCCGAACAGTTCATATGCTATTAAAAAGGAATACGGCCAAAATTACTTTTCAGAGAATTTTTATAGAGCTTAAATATCACCTTCATAAAGAAAGAAAATCAATACTAAGTTGATTTTACTTCCAGGCACCATCGTACCTTACTGCACAGCCCCAAAAGGCTCCAGCTGCTGAAAGCGCTAGTTCAGTAGATATCTACGACTATCTGCGCATCAAAGAACGACCGCCACCACCAACTGAAGAGGTACCGAGACGGCGCCGAGAGTTTGCTGAACCAAAGGTTTGTAAGGCATTTGTAGGAAATTTTCGAACTATTAAGAAACTCACAAAATCTTTTTCAGCAACCATCTGCTCCTCAAGCGTTCGACCCGCGAAAACAGCCCTACTTCGACCCAAAAGACCCACAAAGTCAACAATTCGTCGATCCTAGAGATCCTCGACTTGCCGATCCCAGACGACAGCAAGGCCGTTCCCCTGCCCCCGTTGACCAACAAGGGCGACCTGTCCAGACGAAAAAAATTCCTCTTGACCAATACGGTAAGAATAGCCGCTGTTAATAAAGATGGTATACTGTAGCCGATAGTATAGTATACTGAAATCATAATGTCCGTTGTAATTTACAGACACTGGTATGGACGCTCGTTATCCAGGTAGTCAGTAGTCTAGTTTTGAGAAACTGATTTCGTTGCATTTAGAATGGAATTCTCACCATCGATTTTCTTTTCTTCGTGCCTGGAAATTTTTACTTTTCAAAAATAGCTTGTAAACATCCACTGCATAGTTTAGAAATCTTTTCAAGCACCTTTCATTAGATTACTATTGCCGTGAATTATCATTAGTATGTGACTATGCCGTGAAGTTATACGTCTTCGGTATAGATACTGTACACACAGTTTACTGGTCAGGCCGACTTGTCGGGGGTGGGGGGCGGTCGCGAAGAGTTGGCTACGTTATTCCCTACGACTCATTCGGAAGCGACCGACTGGATTTGGACCGCAACCGTTTAGCGCCTGCGTCAACTCGTCGGGGTGTATGGAGCTAGCCTCGATAAGAGCTCAGAAAGGTTGATCTGCTCATTTTCTATCCCGATAGATGATATCGAGTTTGAACATTTGAACAGGATCCCATGTTTATATTCATAGTAATTTTTGCTCACTAGAGCGCTCTTATAAATGCCTGCTACAAAGTAATGGAACTTTCTTTTTTATCACAATAATGAGTTTGAACAAGATTCATGCTCACAATGATAGCAATTTTCACACCACCTAGAGCGCTCGTATGAAAATGTTTGCAACAAATGTGAAAATAACCAGGCGGACTGGACAGTAGAGAAATGCTAGTGAAAAGGTCCGACCAATAGAAAAACATCGGGATAGCGACAAGGATAGGGGTTTTGTGTGCGGACCTCATTTTTAGCTTTTTGACGATTCGCTACATCAAAATTCCTGAGAATGGATTTTGGAACGTGGTACCTCCCGACAGCGGTACACAAAATTGGACATGAACCTAAGGCGAGCAAAAACGTTAGTGAGGGACGTGGGAACTCGTAAATTTTAGGGGTAGGGGAGGCGGGGAACGAAAAAATAGATCCCAAAACAACCTATTTCTTGACATTTACACATACTAGAAGTAATGGCAAGGTTTTAGTCGTAGATTTGCGAACACAGCAGCGCGAATCTAGTCCAACCCGTGCTATACAAGGGGAGGAAGGAAGGCAAAAAACTCATCTTCCTCCCGTTTAAAACTGAGTTCATCCCACTTTGCTAAATCCTAACGAGATGTCTCCATTGGAAATTGAAAAGCTCATTCACATCTATCAACCTCAATAATAGCCTTCTACACGACCAAAATCACAATGATACCTGATACGGAAACACGGTGCAAGATCGCTCAATGTATTTCTGGGCGGATCGTGGACCATTACGGCATTGTCTAAAGTGCTAGACGGTAGAGCCTCGCAGAGCCAGAGCTACAGTCTCAAGAAGTTAGCACGCCAGTGAGCCAAAAGAGGAGATCAAGTAGCAGCTTCAGGCTGAAGCAATTTCTGTAAGTCTTCATATTCTGAAGACAGTGACGGCAGGTGACATGGCTTGTTCTGCTCATGATAAGACATCTAAGGAATGTTCCTTGGGACTTCCATCAGCGGAGGCAGCAACGAAGTGATTGCTGAGGCGCGCCATGGGCAAAAGGTTTTTCTGCCATCCCATCTCTCCTTGTATACTCCACCCCGCTCATATGAGATCTTTGAAGACTTCCTTCCATGCACCAGATTTCCTTGCGCTGCATTGTGCTGCATTCGCCCGAACCCCGTCCAGAGAGGTTCTTCAAAC